CTAAGGTTGACCATTTCATTTTGCAGAAGGGAAAGAAATTAACCAAGTACTGACTACTGGAACTCATCTTTGCACACAGATGCTTTTATATGGATGCGTGCCTGGCATGAGACAAAGTACGAATGCACACATTTCCACAGAATGTAAATACAAATGAAGCAAACCAACTTGGAGAGCTTACTGCACTGCCACGGTGCGGAAATGTTTCCTACCATCCCACTTGCTTCTACACTAGCACAGCTGCCCTTCTTTGGGAATGGTAGTGGTATGGCTTACTGCCACCAGGTGAGGGTCACCACCAACAAATATCAGTATTGCTCCAGAGTTAGAAAGAAGACTCAGGAACAAAAAAGGATCATTGTTGTTGCTTCATTACAGGGCTAATCAACAGATACCTTGTTCTGTGCTCTGTAGGATTTGCAGATGAATTCTATATTGTTTTTATCCCTTCTTTCTCCTGTTCCCAATGTCAGCAATCACTGAGCTGCATGAAAAAACAATGTCTTCCCTCATCGTCTCCTGGCCAAGGGCTTATGCAACTGGAGTTCTGCATTTGATAGATACATGCTTGTTAGGACAGAAGCAGGGGGCAAGTGTCATCTATGTGCAGAAGAGCAACTCAGATGCAGTGAACGGATGACAAGATGGCTGACTGCTTGTGGGTCAGGGCAGAGGCCGGAAAGGGTGACATTGTAGGGAATATTGTTCCAGGGCACCTGATCAGGGTCAGGAAGTGGAAGAAGCCTTTTTTAGGCAAATTGAAGTAACCAGATCAGACCTTGGTTGTTACATATGAAAGTATCAGGAACAAATTCTTAGTACAGATGCTGGGTGGGCAAACCAGAAGTGACACTCTCCTGGATCTGCTACTTACATTCAAAGATGAGCTGCTCAGGGATGTGGGCAACTGGCTAAATGAATCAGAAGAGTGACCTGCCAGCATATGAAGGCCAACACCCTACTGAACTGTTAACAGAAGCATAACCAGGAGATTAAGTTGGCACTTGTTAGACTGCACCTGGAAGGAATACTGTGTCCTGTTTTTAACCCTGAGTACAAGAAGGTGGTGTTAAGCTGGAGAGAGTCCAGTGTTGGGCCACCAAGGTATTCAGGAGCTGGAGCACACACCCTGTGAAGAAAGTCTGAGAACTAAGCTTATTTAGCATAAAGAAGGCTTAGGGAGGACCTGATAGTGGTCTTCCAATACCTACATGAAGTTATCAAGAGAGTCAAGAGTTTCAGTTAGATTATGGTCTTCTGTCTCCCATTGTGCACATCAATGAAGGAAGAAAATAATTTTTCTGTATAATTACACATTGGAACAGTTTGCCCAGAGAGCACTGGCTGACTTGGGTCTTGAACACCTCCAAGAACCAACTGGACAGAGCCATAAGCAAGCTGTTCTGAATTGTGCTGATCTTGATTTGAGCAAGAGGCTGAACTAGAGACCTCCCAAGGAGTAATGTGATGGTTCTATGATTTACTGTAATTCCCAACGGCCAAAATATAGGATGGATCAACGAAGCAGTTTTACTAAAACTCTTTATCTGCATACAAACTATGTGAGCTCATACACTGTTATACATGCCCACACAAGTAAAACTCGATACAGGAGAAGAAACGGTGAAGTAACATTCACAGGGAAAGGGAATTGAGTGCAAAATAATTTCAGAACTGATTCAATATACCTTTTTTCTTACTACTTTATTATTTCAGTATAGTTAATTTGATTTCTTTGATTCATTTAAATCATATGTATGGCATTAAAGGCATTATTACTAATTTTTACTTTCCAAATTAAAAAAATACTCCAAGCATATAAAAGAATACTGTGCATCACATAGTTAAACAAGACAGGAGGGGAAAATGACACATACAAAGATTGCTTGTAGGGATCCAAATGATTGTTTGAGCTTTGGCACTCCTTTTGGGAAACATGCCCACAAATTATTTCAGCTATGGCCACTGAGCATTTTCACCTCAGGGCCATGACATGCTGAAGGGCTTCTGTGCAAGTGAGTGGTTCTGAAGCCACTGGCTGAGCCTACACCATAAAATGAGACAGCAGGTGCAGGAGGTTCTGTTAACACATAGGCTTTCATTCTACCTGAACTCTGATATCTGTATCACCAAGATGAAAGAAGGTTGTCCCAGCGTGAGAAGGATAACTTGCCTCTACTTTTCCCTTTCTTCCTAATCTGTTCTTTTTTTCATATTTAATTCCCTTGACAACACGGTATTGTGTACATAGAGAACGGGTCAAATTTTCTGTACTATTTAATAGATAATTACAGCGGAGACATTCTCAGGCAGCTGCAGTATTTATTAGTTCAGAAATTACACTGCAATTCTTTGAATTTAGTGTATTTAACCAGGATCTGACCATAAATTGTATGTATCTCTTACTTGTTTTTCACTGGAAAAGCAAGGAGATTATTTCCATATTCAACACCAGGTCTGCAACAAGTAAGCTGGAGTTCTGTTTGTGGTACACCAGTTTCTTCCTGTAACTAAATGAGTTATGCAGAGTCTCAGTTTGTCCTACAGAATCACAAAGAAACTGGGGTAAATGCTTTCAAGAACTGGAAAAAAAAAAAACAGGCCCTACAGGTACCATCATCTGTAGCTATAGCTACATTCTACTTCACAGGCTGATTCTTACAACAGTTATTTGAAGACATATAGTATTGAAAAAGCATGCTGTTGAAAAAGGAGTCGGAGCATGGCCTACATATTCCCCATTTTCAGTAGAAATTGAGTACAAAGCACTATTTGAGCTGTATAAGTATGTCTGTCTGGAAATCTATGAATAAAATTTTTTTTAGATATCTAGTCCTTGTCTTTGACCTTCTGCATAATGATAAATTTCACTCAGTATTCATAGCAGTTGAAATTCAGTCACTTTAAAGTTCACAGAAGGCACTACAAACAGAATTAGATTAAATTTAAAGAGCACTTGCAGATCCTTTTGGCTACTTTGCTTCACCTGTACATAATATCAGTGGGGTGGAAACCAAAGAGAAGTTTACATTCCAATGTCCAGACATTGCAAATACGTTACCTCCTGGCTGCATGTAAGGGACTAACTCAATCTGTCCTAATTATTTGCATTAAATACATTAAATAAATCCTACTGAACTGATCCACAGGAATAGAAAAAATATTATGGTAAACTATGCATCCCCTCTAACAAACAAATATTCATGGCAAAAAATGCACTTCTGCTGTTTACCTAATAGGGTTCAGAATTAAAAGTAAACTTCCTGAACACATCAATGATAATAAATTACAGACTAGTAGTCTGACATGACAGATTGCACTAGAGAGAACTTCTGTTAGCCAATGTCTCTAAGGTGTTAAGTCAGAGATTGTTTTATTTCTAAAGAAAACTGAGAAGGATATGTTTTTATCATTTTCACATCAGCGATAATCATCCCATTCTAAAATACAGTGCGGAAAATAGCATGGGCTTAGATTAAACTTGTGCAAGATACCTCATATTGGTAAACCCAACCAGAATACAATCCATTCAAAAACTGGGAAGAAGCTACCATTCAAATGGATGTTTTACAGTCACCATAAAATGCATGTTTGCTTTGCATAGTAAATCATAGTAAATCACCTAATGCAAAAAAGTGTTCTAATAAATACTGAAGATGGAAAATGTCCCACTGAAGTCTAGAGTACTTCCAGAAAGTCCAGAGCATGTGAGTTACCATGAATTAATATTAGTAGATTAAAAAAAAACACATTCATTTCTCACATACAAAGGTTGATAACCTTGTACACTACTCAAAATGTTAACTAGATCAGGCTAGTGCCACTCACAGAAAGTGCATTATACTGGCTTAGTGCTTCCTAAGGTGTTCAGACACAGCATTCATAACACTTACTTAAACATGTAAAACCCACAAGGAATTAAAAGACACTGACTGAAATGCCTTTTCTTCCTTATTCACTGTCACAGAATTTTGCTAGTCCAGATTTTTTTGTTTTCACCTTGGTCTGCGCAGCATGACCCATTCTGATTTTGAAGTCATCTAGACAGTGTTTCTGAAGGGGAGTCAACAAGGTCAGAAGATCTTCCTTTCTGCATTGGCTGTGCGAAGAGATTTCCACTTCAACTATTTCCACAGCTATTAACTGACATAAGTACTAAACACACACACTTAACACACACACAAAATCTCAGACTAGATGGATTCAAGGAATATTGCAGACCGAGAACTGGGTATTGGCAGCTCTTCTCCCTTGTGGTCATTTGTTAAACACTTTGTTCTGGTACCTCCATTTCTCTGCACTGCCATGCAGAGAATCCCATTGCAGGTAGCTATTGTTTGAGGGCTTTTGAATGGAATACTGTTACATAGTTTTCCTGACAATAGAAGTCTTATACATTACTTCTTGCATGCTAATATACAGAGCCTTATACTAAAATAGTGTATGTTACTATCAAGGGTTTGATAATAATCAAGCAATCAAGTCATGTTTCTAAACCTATATTCTGTATGCCTGGTACAATTATCAGCACTTATCTTTGATGTCCTCTGTGTCTTCATTTAATGATTTTCATGTTATCCTCTGCTGTGTTGATTACTGCAGCAGATAAAATTTCTGACTACTCTTTGTTTTTACTCACATGAACAGATCATGTATCTTCTAAGATATCTACAACAGCTACATTACTAGATATTTAGATTCATAGACATAAAAGTTTTAAAAATTTGTGGTTGGTATTATAATTTTCATAAACAAACAGGATACTCTAAAAAAGGCTACCTGTTTCTAACTAATGTAATTTTGTACATACTTACATTGAACAGAAGAAGGATCTGCCTTGGAAAGGTGATAAAAGGTGAAATGACATTTCTCATAGATACAATGAACATTTGTGCTATTTAGTGAAACCCTGATAGATAAGTATGCCATTAAGTGGAACAAATAAGCTTCCTTCGATAAAATAAAAATCGTATGAATCTACCTCATTATCAGTAAGCAGTTTGTGTAAGGATCTGGGTTCTCCTTCAGTGTAGTCACAATAGCATTGAGTAATTAGGTTACAATAGTCCACAAATATTAAAAAATGCATCCCATTCACAACTTAAATTCTACATATTTGTGAAACATCACTTCTCAATGTTAAGGCTATTTGCAAGTGCTCACAGGCATTGAAGACTTGGATACAGCAATGACAAAGACACATGTAGTCATTGAAAGGAGATCATGTGTCTGTTACATGTCTTATGATTTGGAAGTCGTTATTGTCTGCTTTCTGAAAAAGCAGATGTTTTGGGGTATGCCAGCATCTCATCAGTTTAGATTTACACCAGTCTGATGTTCACATCCCTTTTAGGTGTGGACAGATTCAGCGAAGATATCCAACAAATGATGGGCTTCAAGCCAGGCCTCTACTGGAGACTGTGCTGGAAATTTGTTAGCCCTGCTTTTTTATTGGTAAGTATTGATAGTTATTTCATCATGGAAAGAATGATAGTATGTTGCTTCCTAGAATATACAATAGGTATGAAGAGCAAGATTTCTTGCTATGCCTGATTTTGTCAGGATGAATAGAAGACAGTCCAATTTAATTCCTTTTTTCTACTCAATGGCATTGGTTATATTTTATAATATATATTTTGGTTATGAAAGATAAGTTAATTTTGGCTGTGGTCACCTTCTGTCCTTTCATGTTTGCAGGATTTAAAGAAAGCAGCTTTTCTTAGGAAACACTGAACACTTTAGGCAGTGTTCTTCCTGTCCCCCCAGCATCTACACATATTAAACATAAATCATCCTGTTGGAAAAATAAACTAACCAGGGATAAGAGATTGCATTAGCAAGAATTTGTTTTTCATCGGAGGATACCAAGATCCCTGAATTGTGGAATAACACCTTAGCATAACTAACATGCCACTACATCCGGTAATTAGCTATGCAAAACACTGAAGAGATTTATTAAATATAACTTGTACGCTGCTTGATGTGAAAAACAAGTGCTTCATTACATTTGGGGAAAAAAAAAAATCCCAGAGTGTGCATTTGGTTGCTTTGTGTAAAGGTTAGATTCAGAACTGAAGTACAGCTTTATATTGGGAACTTTCCCTATGCATATTTGTAAATCAAAAGGTCAGGATGAGTAATATGGAAATTTGACCTCGCTATGATTTTAGGAGACTATTAATTGCATTAAAGCCATGCATTCTTAAAACAGTACTGGTGTTCCAAAGATACACTGTGTAGGCTTTTATGACAGCCTTCAGGTCCACATTTTTTCTTTTGTATAAAAGCTTCTGGTCCCAATTCATCACTAAGTACCTACCAATCATGTTTTAATTATCCTTTTAAACACTATTCTATAGACAAACTTGTGTGGAACTATATCCTGCAGCACTTCAAACAGGCTGACTCAAGCAGAACGGAAAAATGCTGCACCAAGCATCCTTAGGCTTTGCATGCTAGGAGACTGTCAAAATTTAAGTTTTACAAAGAGCAGAGTTCTGCCAAGCTAGCTAGAGACAACTGAAGTGATTGTCAGTCTAACCTTCAGGCAGCTTACGATTTCTTGGTGAAATGGCCCCAATACCATCCTACTGAAACCTATAAACATAAGGATCAGAATGAATCTGTAGGTAATGCATCTTTCAGCCAACACAATGAACAATTTTTTTTTTTAATCCCAGCTGGAAGTGCTAAACTTGGAACATATCAACTAATTACTGGGTACTAATATACTTTAAAACCCACGGGAATGGTATCACACTGGGTAGGGGACATTGGGTAGTTTTATTATAGCTGTACATTTTCCTCGATTTTCTAAAAGGCAACGTGGACATGACAATCTTGATTTATAGGGAAAAAGTAATTCTAATTTACCTTCTCACAGCCTTTTGGGTTCATTATTCAATACATTAGGAAAATAAATTACATCAAATTAACTAAACCAGTTTAACTTAGTAATTTATAAGTGAAAACTATAAGATGGTCACTAGCATGAAAAAAGGTAGTCCACTATTAGCCTACATAATTTAAAACTACAAATTGTAGAAAATTGGTCACTTAATCTGAGAAACAGCATTTTTATGCCACCTGTATGAAACGTACAAACTGCCTCACCAGAAGAGACTGAGACCATAAGCATGGTAAAAACAAATTAAAAAAAAAATCAGATATAGTTTAGGATAATTTGGAAAGGCTATAAAACTGTTAGACTTCAGTATAATTCTTGCTCTAACAATCCCATGCATGTTTAGTGCAAAGTGGCCCCTGTTTGGGACTGGTAATGTATTAGAGTAGTTCCTAAGGATAAGTACAATTCTAAATAAAATAAAGGTAATTTGGGGTTGGTCAGGTATCTGGTATTAGGAAGTATCTCCTTGAAGCTTTTTCTCCATACTGTCTGGAGCTATGTATATCATCCCAAGAAAGATCTCAAAATGGAATTAGTATTCTTCTAACTGGATTTCACACTATCGGCTTCCTTTAGCCCACACCATTACTCTCCTTGTGTAGCTTTTCAAACTCTAGGCTGAAAATACTCTAATTTGAAATCACTATATGGAGCAGAATGTATATGCCCGGAGAACCAAGTCAAGGAACTCTGCATCTTACACAACCCATACAGATTTAACAGGAGGCAGATAGGGTAGTACCCTGCTCTTTACTTCTTGCATCTAGCACTGGATGGGGTAACACCAGCAGAAAAAAACAACAACTTTATTTTACAGTCCTAAAGGCTGCTTAACCTTTCCTCAGTAAGTGTATCATGCTGGAGCTTGCATCGTGCCTCACTGAAAAATCAGGACAAAACTTCTAAATGAAACCTAATGCCTCAGGGAAACAAAGAAGGGAAAAACCAATATAACCTCCTGCAGAGGTTTTTCTTGACTACAGAATTCCTTTTATATATCTGTAACATTCATTTAAATGATCTTCCCATCAAAATATCAAATAGTCTCTGTCCAGAGTAGCTAAACTGAACCATTAATACTAGTAAATGCGTGAAGAACTTCAACAGTTTAAGCAGTAAGAGGCACAAAGTAAATAGGATTAAGGTAAATGGTAGAGCTGGGTTGAAATACACCTTAGGACAGCTGCCTAATAAAACACATGAAACCGGTTTCCCACAAAGTTTCTTGGTCTCAAAACTGTGGTTCATTTTATTCTTTCTTCCCTAGTTTGTCGTGATAGTCAGTATAATAAATTTCAAGCCTTTGACCTACGATGACTACACCTTCCCTCTCTGGGCAAATCGCATTGGCTGGGGAATAGCATTATCTTCAATGATACTTGTGCCTGCCTATATTATCTATAAATTTATGAGTGTGCGTGGGACCTTTAAAGAAGTAAGTGAAACGCTAATAAAATGTCATGAAATGTTGCTATGCTATGAAATGAAATGGCTGGAGTGAGGTTGGTTGGTTGTTTCTCTTACTCCTGAAACTTATTACTTATGAGTGACCTTTTGGATCCAACCATCAGATGGATTGGAGTTTTGATGTATGATTACTGCATGCTGTTTTGAGTTGCTAGATAGAAATTAGCTTTTCAGAAAGCACCATATTAATTCTGAAAAATTATTTTTGCTGCATGTAATTAATCTGATTGATGAGATTATTTTTTCCTTATTAACAAAAAAATGTACAAGTTATGGAATCTTCATATTCAGTTCTGAGGTATGGTCTTTACACAGTTCTACCTAAAGAAAGTTCAGTCCAAGGTATGCTTTACTCACTCTATACTAGAGTGTTGTAAACTTATATGTACAAAGGTAATTCAGACCTCTCCTATCTTAGCATTATAAGAGTCTCTACATGTCCACATGCTGGCAGAGTGGAATGTGCCCCCAAAGTAGTCCTGTGTTCAGGATGGCCTTTGTTCATCTAATGAGCATCTAGCAAGGACAGAAGAAATGCCTTACTGGTCACAGCAATAGATCCATTTAGCCCAGTATCCTGTCTATAACAGAAGCCACTTCATATTTGATTTTCTCTGTCAAATTCTCTGTCTCTTTACTGGAATTATTACAACATTCTGCCAAGGCTAGAATTAATGCAGATCTTTCTAGTTTATTCATCATGAATATCGGAATGCTTGAAGAAACTTAATATTCAGGATAGTCCAAGGTGCTGAAATAGATCTGGAAATCATGAAAATTCTGATATAGACACTGCTTACAGTCTCATCTAGCCTGCTGCTTTTTAACTACTTCAGTAAAAGATCCAGGGTAGTAGGCAGCAGCATCTTGCTCTACATAAACCTACTTCATGCATAATATATCTGGTCTGTGCACTGAATAAAGCAGAAACTGAGGGAGAAAATTTGTGACCATCTTACTCTAATGAATTGCTGAACAGCAAGGTTTAACATTGCAACCTCAATAGTGTTCTTTTATTTTCATTTATAATTTATGTGCAATATTAATATATCGATTCTATTTGAAAGAACCTGTTTCTATGGGAAATAAATGCATCTGTGTTTCCTTAGTTCACTCCCCTGTACTTTTCTTTATCTGTTCAGAGTGGCACAAGATTAAGGTTCACTGATCATATTAATTTTACCGCCATATTAATTTGACTATCACTGTCATAGTAAATTATCTATAGTCTTAAAATATCTAATGGTGCTTAGAATGAAGACTCCTCACCACTATACAGCATGAATTTTTGTCCCGTCATGTCATAATTTTATAACATAATCTAGAACCTCTGACATACCTATTTCTGTTGCTCTCCTTTCCTACAGTTAAGAGTTACACAGTGGTGCAGCAAGATATTCACACTCTTAGGCAAATCACTGAACCATCACCACACAGAGAATTAAGAAGAAAACAGGATCTCATCCTTTACCTAGACAGGGCACATATCCCCCTTGCATCGACCTGGCAGGCCTAAATGCCTTGTTTCTGAAACATTACAGTCACCTCACGTAATGTTCACCTCAGAAGGGCACCCCAGACTGGGAACTCCTCTTTACCTACGCTGTTTTCATCAGCTCCAAAATCTCAGTGTTGTGCATGATTTCTAGCTCTCGTTTCCAGCAACTCTATAAGCCCTTTATTTTGTTCTGTTCCTGGAGGTTTACAAACTCATTTTCTAGTACTGCCTAACCCAACAAGGCTTTTACCATCTTGCACAAGTTTATGATACTGGGATGCACAAGCCTTTGGCCAAAAACACATTTGCTCACTCATTTTGTAGTGGTAGCAAGCTCTGGTTTGTCTTTTACAGCTCCTGTAGACAGCAGGTCTTCCGTCTCCCCATGAGAAATAGAGCAAAAGGCTAGTATATTACATCCAAATAACTATTATAAGATATGATGCCCTAAAGTGGGGCTTTTAAAAGTATGGCGAAAAGTATGCTCTTAGTCTAACAGGAACTTAAAAATCAACATCTACATGTGATCCCAAATGACACAGCATAGGGTAGACAAGGCAGATGAGCTGGGAAATAGTCAGTACCTCCTCCCCCTCTCACTGGGACTAGTCAACCTCATTACAGCACTATCAGAACAGTGTGAATTTAAGGGAGGTAAGGCCTGTAATACCAACTTGTTCCTGATGTTCTTCTCCATATGCACTTGCGAAATATTTGGACTTGGTGTTTGCATAAACTTTCTACTGTTGCTTCTTATATTAAAGGCAAATACCAAGGGGCTTATAACGAGCTTGTTCTCTCAGTGACTAAATTAATGGCACATGATGCAGTGATATTAAAGATTTAAGTTTCCATTCTAAATAAAGTTCATGCTACTTCCCCATTATAGACTGGGGATTACAGACATAATACCACTTCATATGGCTGACTTTCCTCTTCTCATTTGGTTTAGAGACTAGCTTACTGCATCACACCTGAAAATGAGCACCAACTCGTGGCCCAAGGAAATGTCAGGCAGTTTAAGGTTTGTACACCTTTCACCATGCTTTCTCTCCTGATACCAACCCATTCCTGTCTCTAGCAACAACTACAGGTTTGGACCAATCTCCTCATAGTGGATACCTCTGCAGGTCTGTAGTTCTTTTTTTCTGCCAGCATGACAAGATGCAGGATGCTCAGTACCACACGCATCAGCTCTGTTGGAAGGCTTTTGGCACCTTCCTTCCTCAACGAAGCAGAACCTACAATCTCACTGATCACTTGAATACAGTAGTTTAGATTGTATCTGAACACAGTGAGATCTCACCAAGAGACGAAGGTATTTCCAAACTATCATGAACATTTAAACAGGTCATAGCCTATTTCTCAGTTACTGCACAACAATTTGAAGTCATGTTTCCTAAATTCAAGTTATGTACCACAGCACATGGTAAACAGCAGAACAAATATTCAGTGTCAGACCTCAGACATAATGGCCGTGATGAAATAATGTGCTAGGTTATGTGGAATAGGCTTTCCCCACAGGCTGATTGAAAACACTGCTGGAGACTTCTTAAGCAGCCATGAAAAATATGCTATAGGCTTCCAAACACTGCTTTCCTTTTAGCAAATAAAATAAGCTTATTGAAATAAAGTCCTTTTTGTAGAAGATAAAAAGGATGCAAATATGAAACTGGTTACACTTATCAGCATTCATGCCAGACCACTTTCTGTCTTCAAAGTTGAAAGCAGCTAGAATTATGCACATCACCTCAAAACATGACCCAGATTTTATAGTGGTGGTTTGTATGTTGGTATTGAAAAAATAAATTTGCCTTTTGCTTACTCTGAAAAATACTCTTTGAAGTATAATTTTGAATTTTAAAGGAAATAATCCAAGTGTAGATTTATGGGATGCAGAATGGAAGCAGGAAAAAAAGGCTTCCTGTTTCATGATCACAGTTCATTTGACGTGGCCAAAAATATACAGTAGCACAGCACCTCTTCCTGCCTTATCTATCCCCTATTCCTCCCCTCAGTTGTCTGAAGATTTAATGTTCCAGTTGTAGGTAATAACTTCATTTTTCCAGAGGCAGACGTTCCTGTGCAAGTGGGCTATAAACAGCCATTCCTACACAGTACCAGTCTTCCGAATGCAAATCTATGACAGCAAAAAGGAAGCAAATGAATTTCACTTAAATTAGAAAAGATTGTACTCAGAAATAAATTCCTGATGATACCTCAAACCATTTCAGACACCAGGGTATGTTAATTTGTTGTTGTTTTCAAACAGCTAGGAACAGCTTTCTTATTGCTAAAGCATAGTTAGTGATTTGTTCATGATGCTTAAGTTTGTAAACAAAACACTATCATAACCAAACAAGTACAAAAAACTCTCATATCTTCAGCAGTTCTGAATTTTAAAACTGAACTGAGAGCTGACTAAATAGCCTTTATATTCAGCAGATTTCTCACTGCCAAGTGGAATCCACAGAAATTTGGTTATAATCTATCCATGATTTTGAAACCTCTTTGTAACTCTAGATTTGTCAACTAATGTATTTAAAACATCTCTCATTTTCATCATTTGAATCAATTATGTTATTAAACAACTACTTCTGTTCCCTTACAGCTTCAACACTGGCTAACAATATGACAACCAACAGGTTGAGGAAAAAGCCAGTATGTTAAGTTAAAATGGGAGTACAGAAAAGTCAAGTTCAAAGCTCCCTCGATTATGCTTGGACCAGGCTGGCTCAGAGCTTATCTACTGACTCTTTGAAGGAAGACATCTGCTCTCTGTTCTCAGTGCCTCCCTTCTATTACTTGGCTTCAAACGATCTTTAAAGACTCCAGTTATTTTTTCATATATCCTTTGGTGCCATGAGATCCCTACATGACCAAAACTTGTGAGTTTTGCTACTGACAGAAGTGGAGGAAGGGGGAGCAGACCAAAAAAGCAATCAACATAAGTTAAATGCTCTTTTATCATGAAGAAGTGAATTAAATTTTTCTGACAGTAATAATTACTTCAGATATTCATGCCACGACCTATTTTAAACCAACACCACCTGAACGTTTTTAGATCTAAAGGAAGAGTACATCTCAATTATGAAGAAAAAGCAACTTTAACTATTACTCATGTCATTAGCTTTCTTGCCATACTATCCTTTGGGATATGAGTTTGCATCCTTCTGAAGTGAAGACTCAGTGCTTCATTTTCAGTGGTTTGTTATTAGTTTCTTCTCTTGGTGAAGAAGGTTGTCTTTGCTGTCTGTATAGGTCCGTGCCATTTTCTGTCCAGTTTAATTATACAAGCTGAAGAGAAGCAGGAACAGAAATCCTGTTACAGCTAAGTACAAAATACAGTTTAATACAATGCTGTACTTAAATATATTCCCTTATACCAACAATTAAAATGGCTTTATCATATGATCCATACTCCACAGACTTTTTCAGCTAAGTATGAAAGTTACATACAAAGACAGCCTTTCATTTTTTTGTTATATTTTGCTCCAGATAAAGAATGTAAAATACATAGGAAGAGAGAATCATTTTTAGAATTACATGATCTACCTAGAGGAACCAAAATACCAAACTTTGGCTTTATTCTCCTGCTGTGAACATGCTATTATTATAATCTAACTTAGATTCACCTACCAAGCCATAGTAAGATTACGATTAATAATTTGGAAGGATATTTTATGCATACTCAGTTGTTCTCTCCAGTAGCATTATGCAAGGTAGAAAATACAGAACAAACTCTGCATTTGGGTGCTGTTCTTATTCTGTGATCACTTATCACCGTAGTATCTTCCCAGCAATCACTAGATTTGGTAGCTTTAAGTTATTTCTTGTACTTTTTATCACTAGATCAATAGTAATTTTCAGAAGCAGTAGCTTCTCAGCTGAACCCAGCCCAGAGTTTACCTCTGGACCTTAACTCTGATTTTTTCTGCCTTTATACATTCAATTCAGCTTGTCTTTTAAATGTATGTAGTGCTTCCTCTTTTTAAAAAGGCCATTTAAAAGGATGGGACTTTTTAATTTAAAATACAGTTTTTGTTGAGGTTTTTTTTCCTTTTTTGAAATAGTGGAATTTATAAGTCCCAAGTGATTTTGGCCTTTTCCATTTAACATCGATTTCTGTTCAAAATAGAATGTAAATTTCTCTCCTTATTTATCCAACATAATCCATGCTTTGGAAGATATCAAGAATTGTCCTTTTCTTGCAAAGTCTCAGTAACAAATAGTAGTTTTATTTAAACAGGGTTTTAAACCCAAAGGATATTTTATTCCAATTACAAAGGAAGTCATATTTTCTGGCCCAGCTGATGGCCAATAGCTGTTTAAACCCTGTTATTAAATATATTTCAATAATATTGGAATTTCAAATGTTGTGGTTCTAGTTCTGTAATTATACAAGATGCCAAACAGTGAAAATATGTTGAGGGCTTCAAGAAAGCCATCCCACCAGCTTCACAGTTAATCCCATTTTTATTGTTTGCTAAGCTACATTAGCATCTTTTCATCATTATAAAGCTTACTTTTCAGTAATACAGCTGCTTCGGTCACTGACTTGGCACGTTTCAAAAGTTTCTTAGCATAGATATAATTACGAAGTTTTTGAAACTCTTGAAGGCTCTTTAACGTGGAGCTTTAATAGCTGGTCACATTACACATTGTTTGGTTCACTCATGACTAGAAATGCTGACAACCTGCATCAATGTTCACTTGTGATACAGCCCATCACCACCATCTGAATAGCAAAATCCATGCATGAAAAGCTGCATTTTGTCACTGCTCAGCCCTGAAATAGGAGCAAAGCTATGTTAACACAGGAATGAAATCGGATTTACCCAGCATGTTAGAGTTTCACTGTATTTTTTATACCATCTCCCAAGGCACTTACCTACTACGTTATTTTTATTTCTATTGCTGTATAATTTCTTAGGTTTAGTGTAGTATTTATAGCTCAGGACTCCATTGCACTACTGCCATCTTGTTTTGAGGTTTTATAGACAAAGAGCTTGCAATCTATACAGAAGACAATAGGCAAATCAGAGAAAGCAGGAATCTCATTACCAATAACCCGAATGAAAAAATAAAGATAATACACATTGCACGACCACACAGCTAGGCTTTAAGTTCAAGATGTTGCCCAAAGGAAGTCTCCCCAAAAGCAATATGACTTCTGTACCAGAGATGAAGAATAGTGTCTTCAATTCTCCACAGAATAAGATGCTCAACTACCTCATGCCTCTTGGACGAATAAATGATGCCCTTAGACACAAACTAGCACCCATTCAAATGCCAAATACCTTTGTGAAGACCAGGTTATATTCTTTGCCTTGACCCAGTGATATGGTACAGACCGTCCAATAAGAAGCCACAACTCTAGCACCTAGCTGCTCTTAGGCACCTGCTTTGAGCTGCCTAATACATCTCCAATATGGAAAATATCAAATGCCACTAAGGTATTCATCTCCCTTCAGTTCAACCACTTGTATTTAAAAAAAACCGATCACCCAGTCAGGTCCTTATCACCCATGTGGTTTAACTGCAAGTCTTCCACTAACTCAGTCTTGAATTTTCAGCCAAGCAGGTCACACTTTCCCTCAGCTATACCTGTTGTGGGAACAGACCTGCTATGGGGACTGGTGCTCTCCCATATATCCCTGTGGGATGGCAAGTATATGTTGTTGGAGTAGGCAGACCACTTCCAAAAGAAGAAATTTAATACAAGCTTATTCAAGATGCAGTATCATCTGCTTGCTAATTATGTTGGCTATTTTAGCAACAAGCCAGTGGGAAGAATTGAGTGAAGCAATTTAACAGCTCATCTGACAGTCCTAGAAAATATTTTCATGAAGGCCTTTTTGTAAACTGATAAAGGAAGCAGCTGTCATACATTAGCATCTCTCTTCTGACCTTCCTTCCCGTCAGTGATCCATGTTTTTTTCATCAAGCCACAGAAAGTTAGTTAGCACCAAGGAAAGAGATCCTCCATTTTCTTTGTACTTCTGCTGTCATTCAGCAGAACAATACTTCATATACTTGTTACTGTTCTAAAGTTGCATTACTAAAACTCCAGAGATTCAGATTTCTGGTAGAAACAATGGGTCCTTCATGGGCAACAGTCCAAAAAGCACTAGTGCTATTTAGTGTTTGGTCCTTGTTTGAACCATATGTTTTTTGTCAGTCTGTCTTGTGTTCTGTCATGTCCTGAGGCATACACCCTGGCAACACTTGAAAGACATTTTACCATAGTGAGGGATTTTGCAGAAAATCCAGGATCAAACACGATATTTTAAATATAGAATGTAGGAGAAATGCTTGGCTGTTACTATTGTACATGTTCCCTAACTGCACATGCAATGTATGTGGTATGTAATTTGCCCAGAGGAAATTCCAGATAATTGGTCATTTCTTCTCAGCAAAATACCACTTAAATGCTATTATTTAAAAAGGTTAAACTGAAACATTTTCTATATACATCCACTTCTCACGCTATTGTTTTGACATGATTAAGTTTATTTTGTACTGTTAGGTTGTAGGAGGTCACGTAGAAAGTTCTTTCGCTTTTTATGTCTCTTGCAGTTCTTCCAACTCATACAGCATTAATTAGCAGATACTTGCTTTTATGGGAGTAGATAGCTTTTGTCCATACCCTGGACTAATTCACTAAGTTTCATGAGACACTGGCAAACATTTAAGAATTTCTTTCCTAAAAACCAAATTTAAACCATAGATTAGCAATTTCAAAAGAGATGAGACTCACAAATGTTTTATTTGCAGTGCCCTATTATAACATTCAAAAATGGGCATGAAGAACTCTGATATAAGACAGTTACCACAGCACAACAAATGACAGTATATAATCTACCTGCAGAAATTACACATATACTCTGAGCTTCACAGAGCAGTAAAACAGGATATGTTTGTTCTAATACACTATTTTCTCAGGGCTAAGAATATTTATGGTCCACAGATCAGCTCATGTGCAAGAACTCAGTCCCATTAAAGGCCAACACAATGTCGCAGCTTAGACCCTTGAATAATTTTGGAGTCTTGGCTATAGTATAGGGAGACAAATCTCTAGAAACACTTCCAGAAAGTCTTCTCCAAAGGAAAAACACTTTTTCAGTCTACCTTCCTCTGATTCATACCCCTGTTCCTATTGTTGACTGTGGGCTGATCTAGATAATCAGTGGAAAGTTAAGCTGTTAGAATATGAAGCTTAAATGTTTGTAATACATTACAGAAGTCAGAAACAGGACCTTGAAGTGACCTTACTAGGTTCATATCTACATACAAGCTGAGAGCAGCATATGGACCATTCTAAGCAAAGCTGGCCAGAAATCACCATACAGGACTGAATCTATGAGCTGCTTGGACACCTAAACTACTACAGGTCTTCATTTACTAAACTAATATTAGCTGGTACACAAGAAAGCCGGCCACCTTCTGGGTTCCTTTAGGAAAAAGGTACACTAGTAGAGGCTACTGCAGAACAGTTGGGAAATCATTTTAGAACTTAATTTACAGAAGTTAAGCCTTCGGTGAAGCCCTGTTACACCTGTGACCTTGCGTCACTGAGTTTCAGAGAGGATCATATGCAGGGAATAGTTGTATCTCAAACATCTATGTTTGAGTGCCTCTGTGCTGTGGAAGATAATTTTTTGGTCAGCCATTTCAGTCTATGGTAACTCAGATTTCAACAGAAACATTTCACCAAGCACTTGGCCCTCTCTAATCCATATTTTCAAAGGACAATTTTTGCTGACAGTCAGCCAAGACCACTTGGCTGACCAAGCAGGCATGGAGGTGTTCCTTAGCTGTGATTAGATGTACAATTACTTGGGTTTATCTGCTTCAGCTTAATGGAAATGACAAGACTTGTAAGCCATGCCCTGCACAGAGAAATTTTTCCTAGGCCAAAAA